TGACACAACAAGGTGCCACTCCTGACACAACAAGGTGCCACACCTGATACAAAAAGGTGCCACACCTGACAACAGGTTGTTCAGAACGTAGTTTCCTGGACCTGCAGAAGAACTGACCTACAAAATACTGAACTCTCCTCTGGACCTCCTCTTTGAGGAGGTGAGGAGACAAGATGGGGAGGTCTGCCAAGGGAGGGGGTGGGACGAGGTTTTACCCATCAGCCCTGTCACAGGGTGTCCCGGACACAGATACAATCAGCTCGAGCTTTTGTCTCAAATTCACAAAATTTTTCTGTCCCACCGAGGAGACAGAGCTCACACAGTGACACTAACGAGCTGATGACACACACACACACACACACACACACACACACCTGTGGTATCAGTTACTGAGAAGAACAACAACATCTACATTACATGGCTGAATGTGAGCATCAGAAAACAACATGAAGCGTGACAAGACCAATAAAGTGCAGCTCAGCAGGAGGAAAGATGACACACACACACACACAGCAGGAGAAGGTTCCCCCGTGTCAGAGTCCTTGAATCACCAAGACAGCACGTTAAAGTTTCACTGGAGATTAAAAATCATCACACCAAACCTACAGTCAGAGGTTCTGTCAGGGTGCTGAGAGACTGCCGATCAGCTCTGTGGGGTGCTGGGTGACATCTTTAACTCCACACTCACCCTGACAACAGTTCCCACCTGCAACCATCACCTACAACCAACCAATACCACAACCATCGTCCCAGTTCCTAAAAGTTTTACAGAGACTGGTCTGAATGACTATCGGCCAGTGGCCCTCACCCTGATAGTTGTTTAATGTTTCAAAAAACTGGTCATGACTCACATCAAAACAACCATCAACATCAACGAGGACCCTCATCAGTATGCATACTGTGAGAACCGATCAACAGAGGACACCATCTCCTCTGTGGTCCACACTGCTCTCACCCACCTGGAGCAGAAGAACTCTTACGTCCGTATGCTCTTTGTGGACTTCACGTCTGCCTTCAACACCATGATCCCCCAAACCCTGATGGACAAACTATCCACACTAGGACTAAGCCCCTCCATTTGCAACTGGGTACTAGACTTTTTAACAAACAGACCACAGTTAGTGAGGATCCACGACTTCTCCTCCACTATAACCCTCAGCACTGGCTCTCCTCAGGGATGTGTGTTGAGCCCCCTCCTGTTTACTCTGCTCACGTATGATTGTGCAGCTACCCATCCAGGCTGTCACATTGTAAAGTTTGCAGATGATACAGCGGTGGTGGGATGCATCACAAACAATGATGAGTCCAGCTACAGGCAGGAGGTGGAACACCTGGAGAGCTGGTGCAAAGAGAATAACCTTCACATCAATGTGAAGAAGACAAAGGCGATGACTGTGGACTTCAGAAGGAACAAAAACACCTACACCCCCTGAACATAAGAGGATCTGCGATGGAAGTGGTCTCCAGCTACAAGTACTTGGGTGTGCACCTGAACAACAACCTCAGCTGGAGCAACAACACCACCAGCCTGATGAAGAAAGATCATCAGAGACTCTACTTCCTCAGGCGGCTGAGACGAGCTGGTCTGGGAAGCTCAGTCCTCACCTCCTTCTACAGGTGTGCAGTGGAGAGCATCCTGTGCTCCAGCATCAACGTGTGGCATGGAGGCTGCACAGCTGCAGAAAGAAAAGCTTTGCAGAGAGTGGTGAAGGCTGCACAGAAGATGTTGGAGTCAGTCTCCCCACCATCACAGACATCTACACCTCCAGATGCAGGAAGAGGGCCACCTGCATCATGAAGGACCACACTCACCCAGCACACACACTTTTTGCCCCACTCCCCTCAGGAAGGAGGTTGAGGAGCATTAAGTGTAGAACCACTAGACTGAGGAACAGCTTCTACCCTGAGGCTGTTAGACTCATGAATCTCTAACTAGAATAATCACTGTGAAACCATGTGATTTTTGATGTGCTGCTGATTATCCATGCTGCTGATGATTTGCCTTTAAGCTACTGTATTCCTACCCTCTGCTCACAACAGACTCATGTTCAGGCTGCTGTTTAATATATCATATTATTTTACATTATTAGTGTTTAGTTTATATCTTAGATCCTTGTTTACTGTTTATATTTTGATATTTTGGGTGTAACTGGGACCTTGAGTACATAACTTCCTTCCACCTCATGTAGCACATGTGATGAGAATGACAAAGAACCTTGAGAGGTTCTGTTGCAGGTTCTGTTGCAGGTTCTGTTGGACAGATTGTTTCCTGTTAGTGAGAATCAAACAGATCTTTAAAGATTTTAGGGTTTTTGTCAGAAGGAGTGAAATCTTTCCCGTTTTTCTTTCTTTCTGTCAGTTTGAAGTAAACGGGTCAGAAGTTTCTGTCAGGTGAAGGTTTCTGGTTCCGCAGCTGTGAGTTCAGAATAAAGGAGTTTTAGTCGACCCGGTTCTGGTGGGTCTCCTCCTTCCTGTCTGCTCCTGCAGCAGACGGGGCTCAGGAGTTTCCACCATCTGTGGAGCGTCTCCCTGCAGACGCTCGCAGCTGTTCGTGTGTGTGTGTGTGCGTGTGTGCGTGTGTGTGCGTGTGTGTGTGTGCGCGCGCGCGTGCGTGTGTGTGTAGACGTTTGACTCAAATAGGACATTATAAACATTTGATGTTAGAGACATTGTTTTCTAGTTGATCTGACTGAAACACAAAAAGTTTAAAGTTTCAGAGAATCTTGAATAAAAACCAGAAGAAGAAATCAAACTACATCTCCCATGATGCAACACTCTCCCTCAGAGCTGGAGCCTCGTGGTCTGTTAGGAATGACATGAAGCTTCCAGCTCCTAAAGCATCTCCAACGGATGGCAGAATGTCCCCGACCAGGTCTGAGGGGTCCCAGCTGGTCTGAGGAGCTACCACCAGGTAACCTCACTGTTCCCGATCGTGATCCAGTCTTTCTAAAGCCCAGAACTTTGCTGGAGGAACATTGAAGAACCAAAAACGGACTGTTCTTCTCCCTCCCTAACCCGGAGCAGCGGAAGGTCTGAGCAGATCTGGACTCACCTGAGTGGACAAAGTAGGCCAGGTACAGGTCCAGCTCCTTGACAGAGACCCCAATGTGGTGCGGCTGCACACAGAGACTTGGGTTGGAGCACTGCGGGGACTTGACGAGGCGCTCGCCGTCGGTGCTCTCCAGAGGAATCCCTTTGAACAGGATCACCATGACCAGGTCCAGCCTCCAGACCTTGTCCGCCTGCCGCAAGCAGTCGATCCGCCTCATCTTGCCCTTCTGGTCCGGGTTGGACAGCACGCAGCACGGCGCCTTCTTCCCCGTCACCGTCAGGACAAAGTCCTCCCTGAACTCGGGTCGTATGTCCTTGCGGAGCTTGGCCAGAAGGCGGGACGCCCACTTCTGTTTGACCTCCGGCTTCTCGCCCAGCAGCTCGTCCTTCACAGCGCGCTCCTCCTCCTTGGACATCCGCTTCTCGTGCTTCTTGAAGTACTTCCTCTTCCGGGCCTGAAGGTTGAACCAGGTGTAGGCGAAGGCCCGGACGTGGGGCAGCAGGGCCTCGATGAAAGGATGGAACTCATCCTGAGGACAGAGAGACACATGGTGAGGACACCAGACCAAATCAGAGTCAGCATCAACATGAGAGCTGAACCAAAACCCTGGTTTAGGTTCTGGTTGGTCAGAGACTGGAAGACCCTCTAAACAAAAACCTAAATGTGTTCAAGTTCTAAACCCAGCAGTCCAAGTCCCTCCAGGACCAGCAGCCCAAGTCCCTCCAGGACCAGCAGCCCAAGTCCCTCCAGGACCAGCAGTCCAAGT